CGAGCCGAGCCGGACGTGCCGGGAGGGGACGTCCCCGCGCGCCCGCAGGCAGGGACAGGCGGCAGGGCCACCCGTGATCCCGGCGGGAGCCTCCGTCCCCGCGCGGCCGTCCCTGGAGCGGCCTCTCCCGCCTGCGCGTCCTGCATGGAGCATGCGCTGCCGCCGGCACCGCCGGCCCCGCTCGCCGGCGCCGCGCTGACCCGCTCCCGTTTGTGTGTTCCAGTTGCTTGGTTCTCTTTCGACCCTGCCTCCGCGCACGCCGACATCATCTTTTCTAATGACAACCTGACTGTCACCTGCAACAGCTACGATGACAGGGTTGTGCTGGGGAAAACGGGCTTTTCCAAAGGGCTCCATTACTGGGAGCTGTCGATCGATCGTTAGCCGGCGCCGCGCTGACCCGCTCCCGTTTGTGTGTTCCAGTTGCTTGGTTCTCTTTCGACCCTGCCTCCGCGCACGCCGACATCATCTTTTCTAATGACAACCTGACTGTCACCTGCAACAGCTACGATGACAGGGTTGTGCTGGGGAAAACGGGCTTTTCCAAAGGGCTCCATTACTGGGAGCTGTCGATCGATCGTTACGATAACCACCCCGACCCGGCCTTCGGCGTGGCGCGCGTGGACGTCCTCAAGGATGCCATGCTGGGCAAGGACGACAAGGCCTGGGCCATGTACGTGGACAACAACCGGAGCTGGTTCATGCACAACAACTCGCACACCAACAGGTACGTCACCCGCCCCGGGGTTGTCCTGGGATAGCCCCTGTCCTGCAGCCCCTGCGCTTGCCCCACGCACGGGACGGTCCCTGTGTGGCTGTGTCCTGCTCCAGCTCTTTGTTCTGTGCACGCTGTGACCTGTTGTCACACTGGCCCTCCACCCAGTGAGGCTGAGAGGGATCTGACCAACATGTTCAAGTACCTGAGGGGGGAATGCAGGAGGATGGGGCCAGGCTCTTCTTGGTGGCCAGTGACAGGACAAGGGGTAACGGGTACAAGCTGAAACCCAGGAGGTTCCATCTCCATGTGAGGAAGAGCTTCTTTGCTGTGAGGGTGCCAGAGCCCTGGCACAGGCTGCCCAGAGAGGCTGGGGCGGGTC